AGCAGGGAGCCCGATGCGGGACTCGATCCCAGGACTCCAGGATCATGACCTGAGCCGAAGGCAGTCGCTTAACCAACTGAGCCACCCAGGCGCCCCCCCACTCTCCACTTCTGCATGAAGGAGACTACTTCCTGCCCCTCTGAGGTTGAGCTTGGCCATGTGACTTGCTTCGGCCAATGGAAAATGACCTTCCCAGGTCATTCTCAAAACTCCTCTGGAGTTTCAGACCTCCATGGCGTGAAGAACAAGCGCCAGGTAGCCTGAGCCCCTAGAAGCAGACTCTGGAAGCAGAGCAGTCCCGGTGACCCACAGACCAGTCCTCAAGAAATTAATACTTATTGTTGCATGCCAATGAGATCATGTGGCTTGATTATACAGCAAAAAGATGACAAATTTGTACCTGTTTGGCACAGCTCTTGGACTACGCTGTCTAACTTCTGGAGAGTTGCTCCAAGCAAAGTGTGTGCCCAAAGGCAATGCTCCATAAGGATTTGGTTTTGGATTAAATGTGTTTGCACGTGGGATTGCACACACTGGACATACGTGTGCATGTGTATACGGCACTGCTGAATGTTAGCCCTCAAACAGGCATGCATGTGGGGAGCACACAGATAGCAGGGTGGTAACTGACCTACAGCTCCCAGTCTGGGCATGTCTGCCTGGACGGAGGGCCATGTGAAAAGCCCAGAGTTGGTTTCGCTGCTGTCTCACTCCCTCTTCCCAAACCTTGGGCATCCTGGAGCAGAGCTGGAAACATCTGAGCCCTTTGAGGCAGGGAAGAAGGTTCCAGAAAGCAAACAGGCAGTAAACCCAAGGGGGTATATAACTGACCACACTTTCTCTCCCCTTCAAACCCCTTCAGCCTTCCAAAGATGGAACAGAGAGGTACCTTTGTGGCAATAGAGCTTAATTCGTCTCCTGAAAAAAGTACTAGAAAGGGTCCCAAGTCCTTTGTCGTCTCAGCCGTCCAGTTCTGGGGAAGTCTAGGAAAAGAGGATAAGCAGTTATCTGAAACACCGTGCTGTTTTCTCTGTCTCCCAGCATCCTTTTCTTGCAGGAACAGACCAACTTCATACCTGGGCAAGTCCCACTTCCCTGACCAAGAGAACAGGCATGTGATGCAGGGTAGCACATACAGGACACCAGGTCACCCTTGGGAATTTTGTTGGAACTACTGGAGAAGCCCTCTTCCTCCTGGTATCTCTGGCAGTAAAGAGAATACTGGAAGTTGTTCCCATTACCAAGTGGAGAGAATAGAGGCCACACCAAGGAACACAGAGCTGAGGGCTGGGAGGAGCATATTCCCGACAACATCACTTGAGCCTCTGGATCCAGTCAGGCCTGAAGTATAGCCCTGGAGTTTTCCATTACATTCTGTTTCTGAACTCAATAAACTCCCACTTCTTTTTTAGCTTGAATTGTTGAACTTCTGTCACTAACAGCACAGCTTGTCCTTCCTCTTCCATTACTGTCCCCATTCTACAGATGTAGAAATTAAAGTGCAAAAAGATCAAGTAGCTTTCCCCAGGTCACATAGACAATAGAGTGTACCACCACGTACACAAAACTTGAACCCAAGGAGTCAGCCTCTCCAGTCCACGTCCCATGTGCCTGGGACAGAGTAATTACTCCAGAAACATCTGCTGTCTTTAACCGCTGACTGATGGCTAGGTCCTACTCAAATACCCGCTCCCAACTTGAGAAGACTCTACACGAGAAAAAAGAGTTCTGTGTCCGTCCCCTCCCCCGCCCAGAGCTGCCCTGGACCCAGAGCTGACAATGCTTTGATCATCTGCGTTATTGTTACTGTTTGTTGTTGTTATTACCCAAGAATAAGGATGCACCTCCTTGCATTCGTAAGGTGCCATCTTTTCAAAACTCCTGTCCTTAAATGTGCCAAGACGTGGTGACAATCACGGAGGCCTGCAGAGCAGCTACTGCCCTCACTTCACAGGGCATCTGAGGCCCAAAAAAGAAAGGTCACATTTCTAGAATAAACGAAAGCGGCTAACCTTGTCCTAAGCCGGAGACTCTCTTGTTTGGAGGGCAGGAGCACCAGGGTTCGGCGCCCCTTGTGCAGCGCTCAGCCCCCCACCCTCCCCACCCCCCGGGGCCGAGCCTGGCCCCTCCTCACCCGCGCTGTTCCAGGAGCCTGAGCCTCACGGCAGCCTTCTGCTCGGGGCTGAGGTCTGGGCAGTCTCTGAGCCCGTGCAGGGCTGTGGCCCAGGCCGGGGCAGAGACACCGCGGTGGAGGACGGCTGCTGGCAAGTGGCAGAGCAGTTTGCCCATGATGTCTACCGCGTACTCGTCAGCAGTGGAGTTGTTCTGAAACCGACAAGCGGAGCTGATGGGAAGATCCAGCAGGGCTCAAGATCGTGACCCCTCCACAAAACATCCCGATCCCCAACCTCGTAAAGGTTCCAGGACCTGAATCACCCACCCTACCATGGACTAGAAGAGAGCAGCACGGGGTGTGATTTTACCCCAGGGAGGCAGGCCTCGGAAGTCTAGGAGGCCCCACCAAGGAGCCGATGTGGGCAGAAGACTTGGCACGTGGTGAACACTCCATAAATGAGGACTGACGTCATCGTTGGTGCCATTGCTCTGAGGCCCCCCCAGAGTTCAACGACCATACTAATAATACTACAGCAAGAATAAAAATAGCACTTCAAAATCTGTATGGGACTTGGGGGCACCTGGGTGGCTCAGTCGTTAAGCGTCTGCCTTCGGCTCAGGTCATGATCCCAGGGTCCTGGGATCAAGCCCCGCGTCGGGCTCCCT